AAACTTACCATTGTAGATAATATATTTTAGCAACATGCACCAGAGGCCCTGACTTCCATCCACAGCAACACAGACACACACACACACACACACACGTACACACACACACACACACATACACACACACACACACACACGTACACACACACACACGGTAAAAATAAAAGTGTGAGGTGAGGGCAGAGGACAAAAGGGACGTGCAGCACAGGAAAGTACCGGGTTACACCCAATGGCTGCACCAGCTTGCTCCCCAGTAGGAGGCCCTGTGTGGGGGCTGCCTTCTGCACTGTCTGCTCACTTCCCTGTAGGCAAGGCTGCTGGGGACAGTGCAGGCTCTGGGAGGTCAGCGTCCTTGTCTGCTGCACCCTGCTCATCAACCCTGCTGTACCTTGGTCCTCCCTCAGCAGGGGTCACTGGAGTCTGAGAAGGGCATGCACAGATTTCAGGGTTCTTGTGTGGAGTCAAAGAGTAAAGTGCTTAGTGTATGGCAGAGAAGGACTACAAATAATCAGAATGCATCACAGGCATATTGGTTAAGAAACTGGTCAACATCAACCCACACACATATGAAGAAATACTACAACCCTGCATGGTGGCACATGCCTGTAATCCCAGCTACCTAGGAGACTGAGGCCTGAGGACTGAACATCTGAGGACAACCTGGGTAATTTAGAGCGACCCTGTCTCAAAATAAAACATGAAAAGGGCTGGAGAGTCACTCCTGGGTTCAATCTCCAGTGCTGGAAAAACGAAAACATTGTTAGATGGAAGAGCAAATTACAAAACTGGTATGTGCTGCAAGACCTCACGTAAAAACATACATCAAGTACATTTTTGGTGTTTTTCTTTTCTATTGATACATTTTCAATAAATGTACAGGGAAAGGTCTGGAAAGCCACTGTCAGGCTTTTAACTCGGGAGAGTTGCAAGTGCATGGAGGGAGACTTCTGTATTTCCATAGTGCTCAAACCCACCCACCTTCTTCATGCAATGGTCTGTATTATTTTTGGTGTTGAAACAAAATAGGTAATTTCAAAATTTTTAAAAAGTGGGCAAAAGATTTGAAAAAATATTTCACCAAACAAGATATAGAAATAGACAATTGAAAAGATGCATGTCATTACAACGGAAATTCTAATTGAAAGCACAATAAGATACATCTTTATGTAAAGTGGCTTTAAAAAAAGACAATTAGAACAAATGTTGACAAGGATCTGGAGAACCAGCTTCACTCATTTGGCTAGGGGTGTGGCTCAGTAGTAGAGCGATTGCCTGGTATGCTTGAGGACCTGGGTTCCCCCCGCCCGCAGCACTGAAAAAAAACCCATGCATTTCTGGTGTACATGTAAAATGGTATAGCCACTTTGGGAAAGTTTGACAGTTTCTTAGAGGGTTGATAAATTTACTACATGCTGTAATTTGGATCTGAAATACTCCAGAGAGGCTCATGTGTGAAAAACTTGGTCCCTAGACTGTGGCACTATTGGGAGGTAGGGGAATCCTTAGCAGGTAGCACCTCGTAGAAGGAAGTTAGGTCATTGAGTGCGTGCCCTTGATGTGGATATAGGGACACTGCCCACTTCTGTCCCCCTCTCTTACTTCCTGGCTGCCTTGAAGTGTGCAGGCCTCTTCTGTCGTGTACTCCTGCCACAATATCCTGTGCCACCACCGGCCCAAAGCAGCAGGGCCAAGCAACCATGGATTGAAACCTCTAAATCATGAGCCAAAATAAACTTTTCCTCCTTATACTTTCTTGAGTATTTTGTCACAGAAACAGAAAACTAACACAGCCTATGTCCCAGCAGCACCACTCCTAGGTATCTACCCCATAAAAATGTAACCTTCATTCACACAAACACTTGTGCTTGAGTATTCATACCAGCGTTATTCATGGTAACAAAATAGTAGAGACAATCCAAATGTCCATCAAGCAGTGAATGGGTAAACAAAAGCTAGTATATTCATCAATAAAAAAGGAACAACATACTGATAAATACTACAACGTGGATAAGTC